AATATAACAGAGTGAAAAATTGAAGGGGGTCTGAATACTTTCCGTACCCACTGTATATATATATACATAGTCATACCTGTTTTGTCCATAATGGTAAAGATGGCCCCTCCACCCAAACCCATGCTCTGTGGGTTGACCAAACTAGTGCAGAGCAGAGCTGCAATGGCTGCGTCCACCGCTGAGCCCCCCTCAAGCAGCATGTTCCTGCCAACAGAAGACATGTCTCATAAATTTAGCATTGGGTTACAACTAGTGCAATATTCGGTATACATAAAGTTCAAATGGCTAAATCTGCAAACTGCAATAAGGAAAATTATAAGATGTATTTTTAATGAGGATTAAATTCTGTTCAACAAATAGACGACAATTCAAGTTATAATTTTTAGCATTAAAGCATTTAGCATATTTCAGTAATGAGAGTATAAGAGAAAATGACCTTCAATGTAAAAATGCAAACTCGTGTCAATATGAAAAATGAGAATCTTGAGGCAAGTCTGAGCTAGAGGAGAAGTGATATCCGAGAGCTCATTGAACCTTAAGGAGTTCCAGCCTTCACACACACACACACACACACACGAAAATTCTTGCTTTCTAGAAGATCAGTTTTTGCACTCTCATTTTTTTAACACTATATGGGTGGTTGTGTCTCTGCACGCAGCTGTGATTTTGGAATAATAGGGTAATACACCACAAAGGATGATCTCAAATGTCTGATTTTGCAGGATGTCCTGAACTGATAAAAGGAAATGTGAGATCCTTTAAAGGCAGGGATGGAATAAATCAAACATCTGAAACGTAAGAAACTTCTTATAGAATGCCACAGTCTTTATATCAGTGTTAAGTGATACGACAATAACCATCAATCACATAATGATGTATCACTCATATTCATGATAATGAATAGTCCTTGAAAGCATATTATCAGATTGTGACGGTATGTGCATTTATGAAGTCAACAATGCTGTTAAGATGACATTTCAGTTATTGTTAAATCTGAAAGTTGAGATTAAAGATTAGATCAGTGTTACAGTGTCAAGCGGTAATATTATATAGCTACTTTTACAACACAAAAGTCAAGAATGGAAATTCCCACAGGAAAAACATCACAAAGTTCCCTTTAAAGGGGTCATATGATTTTGCTAAAAATAACATTTTGTGTATTTGGTGTAATGAAATGTGTTTATGCAGTTTAAGGTTAAAAAAACACATTATTTTCCACATACTGTACATTATTGTCTCTCCTCTATGCCCCGCCTTTCTGAAACGCGTCGATTTTTACAAAGCTCATCAGTCTGAAAAGCGAGGTGTGCTCTGATTGGCCAGCTATCCAGTGCGTTGTGATTGGCCGAATACCTCAAGTGTGTGACGGAAATGTTACGCCCCTTGCCATATTGTGATGCCTTGTCCCAGCCGGAGCGACGAGACAAAAACATTAAAACCCATTATAAACGAGGCATTTGTTGCATCCAGTGGGGACATAATTATGGTTTGTAATGACTTAAATGGTCTTTTTACGTGTTGCATTGCATTGCGCCGCGTAAACATAAAACCATGTCTGCATTTGTGATCGGAGAAACGACCAACAAGCGCTACTCTACACTGCTCAAAACTCGCGTTTGAATCGTCAGTGGCAAATTCTTTAAATATAAAAAACGTACTTACA